GCAATTATTCACAATGAAACTGGTGGTCACTGCCAAAGACCATACCTGTCTTACTTGAACTGCATTTTCGCATGTCCTTCTCTTTTCAGGATCTTTGGTTGGCCAGATGCCCTCCCGGACAGTCATCTGATATTGATTGGCATCGCAAATGCTCTGGATCTGACAGAGCGACTTTTGCCGGGTTTGCAGTCTCGATCGCTTCGCCCCCTGCATTTATCCTTTCCACCCTACTCTAAGGACCAAATCTTCCAGATTATTTCCGACCGACTATTACGACAGAGCAACTCATCCGGTTCATCTACTCAAGCCTTGGACAAGCTTGCTATTCAGTTTTGTGCCAAGAAGGTAGGCCTCTTGCCTCTACGCGTTTGTGCCTCACATCTCTTTCTTAAAATATTTGGTTATCCTTACTCGTTGGCGGTCTTCTCCTTTTGGATTTCTCTATCGAGAAGCCAGTTTCAATCAGTGCACTTCAGGATTTTAGCTGGCTGGTTTTCAAAAGTATCTGCGTTTTTGATCCATTCTTATCAGATTACTGGGGCCGCAACAATAGGAGAATTCGTGTCAATTTTTGCAAGGGCTTTCGGGAACTGCCTTTCAGTAAAGCCCTGAGTTCAAGTCCTTTGGTTAGGCTTTAAACACGATCAAACAAAACACTAACTTTACCCACAATAATTAAGACTCTTGTATCAGGCGTCACGATGTTGACCGTCATTTTTTTTCGCCCCAGAACCTTGAGCGCAACAGGTCAGGAAGCAGATGAATGAATTTTTTTTTCTAGTACATTAATCTTCCACTAGTTTAGCTGTTGGGTAGTTCAGCTGTATACCGCCCGGCTCTCAATGCTGCATAAGATAACAAGCTTCATTTGCCCATCCTATCCTCAATTAGGAAATTACGATATCTGGCTGGCAGTTGATGACATAAATGAGATAAGTAGGACATTACCCTGTTCACAAGCAGTTTTGGTTACAGTCAATCACCCGACTCTTGTCTCTTCTTTGAAATCACTGCTGAAAATGTCATTTTGATGGCTTTACTGGCGCCCTCTCTCATGCCCATACCTACTCTTTTCAGGTTGCTGCCTGTTCGGGTGATGTCCGTACGGCCCTGGCCGTCTGCCACAGAGCCATTGAACTGGCACGTCTGGAGGCCAGAGCAAAGCTGCGAGCCGCTGGAGATGACGAGGATGTTGAAAACACACCCCCTAGGCAGCGGCGTCTTCTGTCTAGCCCGGCGTTAAAGGCAACAGATGAGGCATTTGTCGTCCCAACCCTTCGGCACGTCAACCAGGCTTTTCAGGAGGCGCAGGTATGTGTTCATTGTCCATGGAATTCCCAATTGTGTCTAAAGGATAGCATGCACTCACTGCCTTTTAACTGGCTTCCTGTGTCTATGTGCCTGTTTAATAATGAAGAGTAAATCATGCACTGAAGTCTCTTTAGAAAAGACAGTCTGAAAATAAATTCGCTTTAAAAGTCAGGAAGATGGAGTTGCTGTGTAATTAGTGCGGTTGACATGATTGGCCTCGTTAGTTTGTGGGGTTTGCTTTTTCAGTATGAATTTCGGGGTCGGTGATTCGATTGCACCTTAAAGCGAATCCTCCTGCTTTTACGAGTTTCCTACCATCGACACTGTTTTTCTAGAGCTTGTAAGAGGTGGCTGTGAAAAGTAGGTCTACGCTTATGACATATGAACAAGGCAAGGACAACAGGATTCATAGGATTTAATTACCTCATAGAATTTCTGCTTATGCACTCCACATCAAACTCTTTTCATGAGTTTGCATGAAGTTGCGGATGCAACTACACTGGGCGCACGCAAAAGTGGTTGGCAACGCGGTCAGCTGAACATGTGCG